TGGCAGTGAGTAAATCACCGACACATTTCTGTATTACAGTCTATGTGAGTATTGGGACAGGGATCGCAAACACTGTCTATTCCCTTCTCTTTTCTCGCCGATAACAACAGTATCACTTTTTCTTAATGTTTGAAAATACGCACAGATATAAATGTAAGTCATAAGTGAAAGAGAAAAGAACACTTTTGTTAACAATTGTATAAAACATCATACCCTGTAGTACCAGCTCATGGATACGCATATTAGGTTTTGGATGAACGTAATTTGGTAGATTCTGAATAAAAAACTGAAGCCGGTGCAAAGTGAAGCAGCTACAGTAATTGCATGGTAACCCCACATGTGCTAAAGAAAAAACATGTTATATTCCGAAACAGGATTAGAATTACACCCTGATCACAGAACGATATAAAAAACCCTCATTACCATACAAAATAATCATACGACAATCTTCCAACTATCAATCCAAATTACAATATAGCAGAAAATCAATTAATATACTTTAGGTTATAATGATGAAAATTATATAATCCCCTATCCAAGACTTTTTTTAATAACTTGGAATACAAGAAAGTACTAGATCCTTGTCATTCTGATCTTACAAATCAGTTCCAGATCAGTAAAGGATGTAAGCCAATATAGTAGCCAATCCCTTTACATGAGAAGGAGGCGGGCAGGGAACAATATTCTAGACTAAAACAAAATTGCAGTTCACTCAAACATGATCTCATTCCGTGTCCACTTTGTCACAGTTATTATCGTGAGTGTCAAACATCGTTAACTCCCGTACCTTGTCAACGTTAATACAACTCATCCAAATACGTTTGAGTCTACTACCGTTTGGTGACAAAAAAAAATCATTCCAAGTAGGGAAGCAGCTGATTAAAGTTCGTGAGTAGAATCTGAAAATGATATAAGACAGTATGGGAGAAATAGTGTTATATTTGACAATATTCTTATGACGTGACGAATTTAAATGAACTACTCAACGCAATTCTTATGTTTGTTTGCTTGTAACTGGTCAAAATTGTTTACAAAATGTTATCAACATTGCCAAGTTATTCAATTTCACTTCGAGATATATCCACATCGTTTATGTTTTTAGAAATAGAAAGAAATTATTTTCTCTTGAAAAGCTACAGCATATGGAATGTATAGAAAGAAAAAAGGAAGAGTAACAATAAGTGAATGTACTTATAGTAAATATTAGCAAAACAAACCAATTATTTTGCGTCTCTTCATCTTTGCCTGAACACTATGAAGGGTAAAAACAGAAAATACCGCTCTTAGTGGTAAATATACAATTGTTTGTTGATATCTTTCACTGAAGGAACGATATTACTTTCTTCAGTTTAAATGACTTATAGATTTCATTTTCAGAGTTTTAATTAACATTTTTGTAAATTGTGTTATTTCTCACAATCGCATTGGTCGGATCCGATACACGTGACCAGATCTAAACAAACATGTAGTCGGATTTCTTAATGTAGCCATCAGGGGAATCCCATACTCATTTGCCTAATTAAACAGTTCATTTGATAATAAATATTTGACAGGTTCGTTATATATTGTATGTTTGTTAATCTTTAAACGTAAAAATGTATTGTATTGGTCAGCATGATTCTTCATTTTCGCTGAGCTGCATGACTGGTAACTTGCAACAATTTTGGCACGAAACGAAGTCTTAAAAACCTAAAACGGTCCTCTGCTCGGCCTCGGTCAAAATATCTTCTCATGTTAATTTCAAATCTCGGATTCATTTTGGTCAATTTTACTTTTTCAATTCACATCACTCCATATTCACGATCACAACTGTCCATTAGTATACATGACTTGATGCTGACGATATGATGTAGATATGATGTAATGTCCTGTTATTTCATAGGTATAACGCGTTAAACTTATCCTCAGGGATAGAGCAGCTCGGGGGCATGCCCTGGCACCTACCTGTCTGTTTCCTGGCCGCCTGGACGCTGGTGACTATATGTCTGATAAAGGGGATTAAATCGATGGGAAAGGTAAATATGATGTAATTATATGTCTGTGTAATAAATGATAAATTAACACTGATAAACTAGTATATACCTTCTGAGGATGATTCCTTTGCTGCTGATCAATGTTCCTTCTAAACCAGCGTCACAGATAAACATCCCACGCCGTTACAGTCTTGGAACCCTTATTCCACAGTGTGTTGTCGACACCATCGCAGGAGCCTGATACTGACTGTTTCTTGGTAGACGATGTTTGTATCCCTTGGATTTTATGTAGGATGGGTTGTCAATAAATATACATGATGTATTTAAACGTTCATATCCAAAACATAAACAGAAAATGATTAAATGAAGTTGTAAAATGTTCATTTCACAAATTATTGTAGTTATCTCCCATGCACTGTTTAATTGGATTGTCATGAAAGAATATATGTAATGTTTGTAAATAAGTTTGGAAAGGACTTAAATAGGCCTAGCCTGATGTCCAATATAATTGACATATATAAAGTCAATACAATTTGTTGAAATGAAATGAAATGACTATGTTTGTACTTCTCCTGAAAAGTATACGGAGATTTATTGAACGTTTCATAGGGCTTTGGTCAATATTTGTTAAAATCGAATACCATCCCCATATTGTGGTATGTATTTCAAAAAGGTAGCAGGCTCTTGAACTCTGAAAATGGTATCCACCTTATGTTCTTCTTGCAAAAATTTGAAGAATTTTATTAATTTTCTACATAAACTCCATTCTCTTTACGCAAAAGTGATCCCCAAATAAATATTTTTTGAATGTTTTGAGCTATGTTAGGCAATGGAAACTGGGGCGAGGCTATACATTTTGGGTGCACTTTTCGTGCACTTTACGTGACACATTGTATTTCGACGTCAACCACAAATAAGAGGTTTTTCGAATGTAGATGCATCCTATATCAGCTATTTGTGTGTGGGTGCAGTTTGCAGCAAAGAAGTTGGGTTTGGTCATGTTTTTCCTCTGTCGTCGTTTGAGATGGCTTGTTTTGTCTAATAATACTTCCTATATAACATGTACACTGACATGACTTCTCTGGTCCCTGTGAACATCAGGCCGGGGATAATATCATTGATGAACTCTTTATAAAATAATGTTGTGTTGTCAGAAATCTGAATTGTTTTTTTACCTTGTATGTCTTATATGTAAAGCAGTATAAATGATTACATAACTATGTACAGGTGGTGTACGTGACGGCAACATTACCTTACATACTACTGACCATTATCCTGATACGAGCCATTTTTCTCCCCGGAGCGATAGATGGAATATTGTTTTACTTAACTCCGGATTTCTCGAAATTAAGAGAGCCTCAGGTATGAAGATATTTACTGTACTTAACGTTGATCAGGTATTAGAAGCTCTGTAGTGTCAGGTATGGTAACGGAAAGATGACAGGACCACATTTGTAACACGAAACCAGTTGTGTGTCGATAATTATCGCGTAATTATTTCGTCTTTTCGCTCGACTTTGTCGTCTTTTCGTCTTGTCAAGGCAAAAAGACGAGATGACACCAATTTAGATACACATATAATGTCGTAATTTCGCCGCAAAATAACGAAACAACGACATATCATAATCTAAAATTCCGTTGGCGAAGTAACAAAATTGTACAAATAAGCCACCATAGTCATGGCACGATTACTGATATAAATTCGATAAGTAACATAGTGTGTCGTCATTCTATTTGATATCCCAAGGAACATTAAGCGATGGCGTTACAAACTCACGGTATCGGGAATGACCTTTGACGGTATATCTTTCTAGTCTCAATATGCATACAAAGTTTAATGATTGATAAATTGATAGCAACTCGCTCCCATTAGGTCTGATATTTATGAATCTTGCTTAAAATTGTTTTCTGAATATCATGTATAACTGGAATTCGAGAATTTGCGTCTTTCTAACAGAGAAACTCGCTAATTGCTACGTGTATACAATGCTGAGTAGGGAGGCATGCTGATGCAAATAGTTAAAATGGCTTAGAAAAAAACAGCGCAACAATCGCGTTACGCCAGTAACCTAGATTGGGTAACACACTATTCGATATGATTACGACATGTATGTACATGCCCGCCTGGTCCTATTTTCCTTGTACATTGCAAAGAGCACTGGAGTTATCTTCCCGTTGTCATTCTTTGCCATGGGTTTGAATCCATATTACGGTTTTTGTGACACTTCGTTATTTTCTTCTTATTTATTTTGTATTAAGATATGGTGATATGACAAATGCCGTGTAATAACAACAAAGAATCCAGTAAATTTTACTAAATCATTATTTTATAATAAGTGTCAATGCTTTAAGTTAACACGATAGCGTTCATTACAATGTAATACATTTACAATTGAGCACATTAATAAGGTTGTATATTTTACAGGTATGGATAGAAGCAGCATTGCAGGTGTTTTACTCGTTGTGTCCGTGCTGGGGACAACTCATCACAATGGCTAGCTACAACAAGTTCCATAACAACTGTTACAGGTACATAGGGTTGTAATACAGGTACAATGTAAGTTAGCTCAGATTTTTTCCTTCAGTATTGTCAAAAACAAGTAACGCTACATGTAACTTCCTGCAAGTATTTCATTTTTTTAGTCTGTTGATTGTAGTTTGAATTATGAAATAAGTTAAAAAATACACAACCTTTTGCTCGGGTGGACCTACATATGATCTGGAACGCTGTTTAATAATGAACTTTTATGTTGAAAGGGATTCCGTCATACTGACCTGCATCAGTGAGGGCACCAGTATATATGGCGGCTTCGTAGTGTTTGCTGTCATTGGATACATGGCTCACAACGCCAATCTGCCCATAGCTACGGTAGTAAAGTCAGGTACGGTTACGTTACATCTAAGGTGTGATCAAAATATAGAAAATTGATAATCATAACATTGACCAATTTAAGTATGGGCTCGAGGGATGAAGCAGGTTTTTAGTTCTCCGAGACTAGGACTCTTTCTCGAGGCGAAGTCGTAAAATATCGAATTGCTGTTTTGATATTCCGTCTTTGTGTATTGCAGATTTATCTTCCCTTGGAAGCAGGTATTGATTGTAACGTCATTGGTTTGTGTGAGAAAATTACGTCGTTTTCTCAAAAATTGATGACGTTACTCTCTTAAACAAGTGACGTAAAAATTAATACCTGTTCTCAAGAGAAGATAACTCTGCAATACGCAAAGACGGAATACCCATACACGGAACAACACTCATATATCTATTCATACAGATAATATCGTCTGCTCTTTTCTCAAGATCGACCAAAATCGGGTGGGGTCAGATCGGTATGAGTTCCGCCCACCTCTCACCTACTCGGTCAGTTCCTTGATAAAGTTACGGAATCAAGTAAACAATTTAGTTTGCATCCCCGAAAACTGTCAAGAGAGGTAGTCTGCAGGGGTGCGTCGGTTTTTGGATCAACACACAGCTATTAGCGTACTGACTGCCTGGATATGTGTCATATTCCTTCCGATAATTGCTTTACACTAACCTGTCACTTACTGATACTTTTAAGTGTTTTCCTATTTTGGTTTTGTTTATTTTTCATCTGATGATGCGTTGATATATTTATCATTATTACAGTATAACAATATAGCTGCCTACTTTGTTCTGTTGCAGGCCCTGGTTTAGGTTTTGTGGTATACCCTGAAGCTCTGTCTACACTGCCTCTACCTAACCTGTGGTCAGTGCTGTTCTTCCTAATGCTACTTTCTGTAGCGTTGGATAGCGAGGTATGGCTGTTCGTTTTAGCCATGTATTATTACGTTAGTTACTACGTTTAAAACTGCATGTTCTGCTTACAATAATGTAGCTATTTGTCTCACTTTATTTGAGTATGTAGGTTTTGTCTAGAAACAATCCATGTGTGGTGTAAATATATTTCACATCAAAATTCCATAGCAAATAAAACACTTTTGCATTAATTGCTAGTCTCAAACAATATTTATAAATAGTAAATTGTCTATTTTCATTATTTGTAGTTTGCGTGTGTCGAAGTGGTCGTAGCGGCAATCACAAATCATTTCCGAGTTTTACGGAAGAGACAGGTTTTAGTAGTAGTGACCGTGTGTTTAGTCTACTTCCTGCTGGGGTTAATATTCTGTACTCAGGTTTGTATCTACCTCCTGCTGGGGTTAATATTCTGTACTCAGGTTTGTATCTACCTCCTGCTGGGGTTAATATTCTGTACTCAGGTTTGTATCTACCTCTTGCTGGGGTTAATATTCTGTACTCAGGTTTGTATCTACCTCTTGCTGGGGTTAATATCCTGTACTCAGGTTTGTATCTACCTCCTGCTGGGGTAAGTTTTCTGTACCCATGGTTGTATCTATTTCCTGCTGGGGTAAGTCTTCTATACCAGTTTTTGTATCTACTTCCTGCTGGGGATATTCTTCCTGCTGGGGTAAGTCTTCTGTATCCAGTTTTGTATCTACTTCCTGCTGGGTTAAGTCTTCTGAACCAAGGTTTGTATCTACACGTACCTCTTGCCGGAGTAAGTTTTCTTTAACCAGGTTTTTATCTACTTCCAGCTTGGGCAAGTCTTCTGTACCAAGATTTGCATCTACCTCCTGCTGGGGATTAATATTCTTTACCCAGATTTGTATATTCTTCCTGCTGGGGTAAGTCTTCTGTACCAAGATTTGTATCTACTTCCTGCTGGGGATTAATATTCTTTACCCAGATTTGTATATTCTTCCTGCTGGGGTAAGTCTTCTGTACCAAGGTTTGTATCTACTTCCTGCTGGGGATTAATAATCTGTCCCCAGATTTGTATATTCTTCCTGCTGGGGTAAGTCCTCTGTACCGACGTTTGTATCTACTTCCTGCTGGTTTAAGTCTTCTGAACCAAGGTTTGTGTCTACATGTACCTCCTGCCGGGGTAAGTTTTTCTGTACCAACGTGTTGTATCTACTTCCTGCTTGGGTAAGTCTTCTGTACCCAGGTTTGTGTTTACTTCCTGCCGGGGTAAATCTAATGTACCAAAGGTCTGTATCTACTTATTGTCGGGGTAAGTCTTCTGTACCAAAGGTCTGTATCTACTTATTGCCGGGGTAAGTCTTCTGTTCCAAAGGTTGGTATCTATTTCCTGCCGGGGTAAGTCTTCTGTTCCAAAGGTTTATATCTACTTTCTGCTCGGGATGGTTTTCTGTTCCCAGGTTCGTATCTACTTTCTGCTCGGGATGGTTTTCTGTACCAAAGGTTTGTATCTACTTTCTGCTCGGGATAGTCTTCTGTACCAAAGGTTTGTATCTACTTTCTGCTTGGGATAGTTTTCTGTACCCAGGTTCGTATCTACTTTCTGCTCGGGATGGTTTTCTGTACCCAGGTTCGTATCTACTTCCTGCTGGGGATAGTCTTCTGTACCAAATGTTTGTATCTACTTCCTGCTGGGGTAAGTATTCAGTACCAAAGTTTCTATCTACTTCCTGTTCGGTAAAATCTTCTGTGACAAGATTTTTATCAAATTGATATGTACCTCGTTTATTGTAAATGTAGATTGGACTAACCGTGAGGTACGTTGATTAATATATACACGTGCATGTAAAGAAACCTGTCCTTACATTACCTTAGCTTTTGATACGACGTTAAGCCCTTTACAAACAGCCAACATATAGATTAGAATATAGATTGGTAAATGGTATTATATAGATCTCAGTGTAGCATGCCAGTATATACATCTGCCAATTGTTTGACTTCTACGTTGTATAGGTAAATATGAGTTGGTATATTTTATTTTGTATTTCTGTGTGTTGAAGGCCAGAGTATATACATAAATACAGTTTGGCTGATACGTTGTATACAGAGGATCTCGCATGAGTAGAGTATCTATGTCATATTCAATTTATTAAACGAGTTTGATAAATTCAATATTACATGGACACTCAGTTAGGATGTTATTTATCACATAAGATCGATATTTAAAAACAAAATAGGAAAAAAACTATGTGGTATCAGTAGACGGTATAAAGATCTCAACCAAAGTACTCCGATCATAGTATTGTCGTTCCGCGCAGTGCAAATTAGTTCCTGTTTTATTTGGGTTTTTTGATAAATTTAATAATGAACAGTTTTAAATGTGATGAAAATATAAGTGATAACATATACATTTCAAGTTAATTTCAAAGGAAAACATTCAAATGTACAAGGACAAATCACATTTCCCTAAGCTTCTATTACACGTGTGAATGACTATATTTGTGACATGGCCGTATGACATTAATAGTTAAATGGGTAAGTTATGTGGTAAAGCTAAATATGTGTTGGTATGTTATATATTTAGAATGTCTTTGTTCTGTAGGCCGGGATATACTTCTACCAGCTATTTGACTGGTACGTTGCGGTGTCCATACCGGTGTTTGGTCTGATCGAGTGTCTTATATTCGGATGGATATATGGTAACTTCTCATTAATGTAATGGTTAAAGATATTTCCGGGCCTTAATTTGGAAAAAAAAACACATAATGTTCGTAAATAATATTCTGAAGTGATATTTTTATAATCGATACATAGTTTTACATTGACTATTAACTTTGTTGATTTCTGTTGTCGTATTTGCTACCAAAATTATTGATTGTTAAATCTAGTTTAAATGCGAAAAGTTTATAAATGTGTCATATGAATTATCCTAATTAGAATAATTGTATATATATACAAATGAAAACAAATAAATATCAGCCACTTAAACAATGTTCTACATTGAAGTTAAACGTTGTTCTAGCCTGCTGATGTGATTGTATAATGTATATGAAGTAATTTACCAGATAATAGTATGATATGTATGAAGTAATTTACCAGAAAATAGTATGATAGACATGCTTCAAAGCTTTACATAGTATACAATGTAAGTATTTACGTTTCTCTCTCAAGCTCGGACTGAGTGATGACATTATAACAATGATCATATTGTCATTTTGTCATAGTGTAGTTAAAACAGTTGAATAACATAAGTATATCATACAATACCAGTGGGATGAGGAAACGGGCTTAGATTTTCCATGTATGCCCCTTCCAAAGCGACAGCCTTAGAGAGGGACAAGTCTTTCTTTAAACGTTGATACCTAAAACTTCGATGCATATATATTTGCAAACTGAAGAACCTCATTGACGGTACTTAACACGTTTAGACAGGAGCAGAACGGTTTTCGCGGGACATTGAAATGATGATTGGTCGTGGAGTTCCTGTGTTTGTACGGATTTGCTGGTGCTTTGTAAACCCAATCGTGCTTCTGGTAAGTTTATTTAGCTTTGTAACTCCCTCTCAAGCTACAGTATATTATCAACAACATGCATGGTTGAGCGGATTGTATATGTCTATGTACATAGCACACATGAACCTGAACACACAATTCGTAATATATATATTTATATATAAATGAACACACTTTTCAGATATACATGTGAACACAAAGGTCGTGAATGATAGATGAACACTACGTTTCTGTATACTTAGGGAAAGTGGAACACACACAGGTCATACCATTACATTTGTGAACGTATAATAAAGATGTTTAGGTGAACGCAAAGGTGAGGTAGAATTGTGCGCACACAGTTCAAAATACGTGTGAATACAAACTTCAAATATACTATTCACATATACTGCATGTACTGTCAAAATATGCTTGTGAACACACAGTTCTAGCAACAATGTTGAATAATTTTGGATTTCAGGTATGCCTTGAAACACATAGCTTATGTTATATAAGTTAACACAAAGTCAGGTAATAAACTTGACTACAGCTGCACAGACTAATTAATTAATAGCAAAAATAGGAGTATCCGCTCATTTCCATTAAGCAAAAAAGGAAAATAATAATATAACTTAGACGGTTTGACATTGCAATGTAACTTGAATTACAACGACAACATTGACGTTTGGACATATTAGTTACGGCAGATATCAAGACAGGTGACACGTGTGGCTCATGGTATGCTTACCCATCTAACGAACCGTGTTTTGGCTCTTTGTTCTGTTTGGTTCATGGTGTCTCCCCTCGCCTTTGACGCCTCCTTAGTTCTTCGTGTTGTATATACTGGTATTGACTTTCTCTCAACTTCTGTTATGTATTGTTTTTATTATGTAAACATTTGTAATAAAATATCATACAGTATGTGTTTACAGTTTACATTCATTAGTAACGAATGTTCTCATTATCTGCAGTTATTTTCCATAATGATACCATAAATCGAGACAATTTTCCTTGACTCCGACGGATTTATACTTTAGTCACAATTGTGTGAGATCACCAGGAGTAGATGCGGGCGGACTT